AATGACGATGAGGGTGGTGGTGATGCTGATGGTGATGATGATAATGATGATGATACTGATGATGATGAGGAGGATGAGGATGAGGATGAGGATGAGGATGAGGATGAGGATGAGGATGATGATGATGATGATGATGATGATGATGATGATGATGGTGATGATGATGGTGGTGATGAGGGTGATGAGGGTGATGATGATGATGATGATGATGATGATGATGATGATGATGATGATGATGCTGATGCTGATGCTGATGCTGATGCTGATGCTGATGCTGATGCTGATGCTGATGCTGTTGCTGATGATGATTCAATCGGCTGACGCCACATCCGCCGACCCCTTGATCGACTCGGGGATGTCCTAATGCTGTCCTTGGGCGTGTTTGTTTCATCTTGTTTCTTTTGGGGGGCGGGCTCGGGGCTCTTCGGGGCCATCCCCGAGCTGTTCTGGGGGAATTTGGGGCCGTTCAGGGGACGAATCCTACACGTCTGGAGACCCCGAAAGGGGTTGGCGGATGCGGGTTGCATTGCATGTGTCCAGACACGCGACAAAGCGGAGGCTACAGGGTTACCCACCTAGTCTGAGCTGGGCCTTTACGCTGGTCCGCAGTGTCGTTTGTTCCTGCCGCGCTCTCTTCCGAGCGAGGGCCACTGTTCTGGATCCGCGTCATTCCTCATCCTTGGCGCGCCGCTCCTTCACCCTCTTCCGCCTTCCTCTGGTGCTCTTGCTCCTCTTGCTCTTCCCACTCCTGCTGCTGCTGGTCGTCTCGGCCTCCTCTCTCATCCTTTCCTCAGTCTGCTCATCGGCTTGCTAATCCACCACTTTCTCCTCCAGTGCGGAAATTTGTTCGTTGGCGGCGGGGCACGATCGTCTGCGCTAGCCCAAAGGCCTCAATGGGGTTGCCGTTCAAGCGAATTGTGCCCCCATGCAGGAGGGGGTCAGAAGCGGAGGACGCGGCCGAAGGAGGGGGCAGAGGGAGCGAGCCGCTCAGGGGGACGGGTCACGCCCCGAACGCGTGGCGCGGCCACCGACTGCGCACATTTAGCCCGACAGGGGTCTTTTCAGGGGGGGTCCGGGTCCGCAATGGCACGGGTCGGGGGACATAGAAAAACAACGCAGTGGTGTTGCAAGGTTCCCTCTCCTCCGCCTCTGAGGGCCGGGGGCGGACTTAGATCCAAAGGGTCACTGGGCCCACGGATTGAGGAGGCAGCAGAATGAGGAGAAGTAGCGGAGGAGGAGGAGGATGAGGATGAGGATGAGGATGAGGATGAGGATGGTGATGATGATGATGATGATGATGAGGATGATGATGATGATGATGATGATGATGATGATGACGATGATGATGATGATGATGATGATGGTGATGGTGTTGGTGCTGGTGCTGGTGCTGGTGGTGGTTGCGACGGTGTTGATAATGATGATGCTGGTGGTGATGATGATGATGCAGATGATGATGATGATGACGATGTTGATGGTGGTGATGTTGATGTGATGATGATGACGATCATGACGATGATGATGGTGGTGGTGATGATTATGGTGATGATGGTGATGGTGATGATGGTTGTGATGTTGGTGGTGCTGATGGTGATGGCGGTGGTCATGGTGCGGGTGATGTTGATGATGTTGGTGGTGATGGTGTTGATGATGGTGATGTTGAGATGGTGACATGGTGGTGGCGGTGGTGATGATGATGGTGGTGGTGATGGTGACGGTGATGGTGATGGTGATGGTGGTGGTGATGGTGACAGTGGTGCTTGTGATGATGGTTGTGATGATGGTGATGGTGGTGGTGATGGTGATGGTGATGGTGATGTCATCATGATGCTGACGAGGAGGATGGGGAGGGAGGAGAGAGGAGACAGGAGGGAGCAATGAGGAGGACGAGGATGAAGAGGAGGAGGAGGAGGAGAAAGTTAGGGAGGAGGAGCAGGTGAAGCTTGCTTCTCATCGTCCGTCCGCACTCCTCCATCCCGTGCGAACCCGCACCCACGAAAAGAAGGGCACCCTGAAGTGCAAAACGTGCAAATTATGCGCATTCGAGCGCCCGGTCCGCGTTACGTGGAAGTAGGCCAGAAGTGGGGACTAGAGGGAGAGCGAAGCTGATGAGGAGGACGAAGCTGAGAAGAAGGAAGCGCAGAGGAAAGAGGAGGAGAGGAGGATGAGGGGCAGGTGGGGTATAGCGAGGCAGGGGATGAGGCGGAGAAGGATGAAGAAGACACGAGGGGGACGAAGAGTGATGATTCAGGCTTGGGGCCCTGACTGGGTGGGCACTTTTAGAGTCCTGACGGAAACTGCTTGGATGATTGTATTTGCCGCGGCTGACATTCGCAGTGTTCGTCGTGGGCGCATGATCATCGAATGGCCTTCGGCCCATCCCGCCACCGTGCCTGGTTTGTGGGTCTGAAGACAGTGGGATAGTTCATCGGGTCTCGTCGGCGGTTTTCGGGGGGGCTTCGAGGCATCCGGCCACAGTGCCTGGGTTGTGGGGCTGAGGCCAATAGGATGATTCATGGGTCTCGTGGGAGGCCCCTTGGGAGCGTCGTCCCGGAAGCTGTTTTTGGACTTCTTGGGGGCCTCATGGAGGCCTCGTGGGGTTTTGTTGGAGCCCCCTCGGGGTTCTCCGGGGGCCAACCTGGGGGCGTTACGGGGCCGAAGGCTCGAAGTGTCCGTTCGGGTTTCTCCTCTGGGCCCCCTCTGCACGCCGTTCTTGGGCCAGGAGGGGCGTCTTGGGGGGTGCTTGGGCCGTCTTGGGGTCCTCTCGGGCCGTCTTGGGGCCTTGTTTGGGGCCGCCTGGGCCGTTATGGGGCGATCTTGGAAGCCTCTTCGGCCATCGTGGTCGTAGTAAAAGCCCAACAGGCGAATGTGCTAACATCATAGGGTTTCCCTAAGGGAACGGGAAGCTTGTGCTTCTTGGGGCCCTCTTGGCGGGCCTGTTGGAGGCCTCTGGGAACGTCTAGGGGGCATCTTGGGCCGTCTGGATGCCATCTTGGGCGTCTCGGCTCGATCTTTTGGCGACTCGGGGACCTCTTGGACCGTCTTGGAGGCCCTTCTGGGCCCTCTTGGCCCGTTGTGAGGCCCTCCGTTCCCCCGTGGCGCGTTCAACCAGCAGTCGTCCTGGGCCCGGGGGGGGGGTCAAATTCGCGGTTTGGGGTCCTTGAGGAGGGATTATTGGGGGAACAATCTCACACGCCTAGAAGCCCACAGGGGGCCGTCGGATGATTATGATGATGATGATGATGATGCTGATGCTGATGCTGATGATATGATGATGATGATGATGATGATGATGATGATGATGGTGGTGATGGTGGTGATGGTGGTGGTCGTGGTGGTGGTGGTGATGATGATGTTGATGAGGATGCTGATGCTGGTGCTGATGGTGATGGTGATGATGGTGATGATGATGATGATGATGATGACGATGACGATGGTGATGGTGATGGTGATGGCGATGGTGATGGTGATGATGGTGATGACGTTGTTGATGATGATGATGATGATGTTGATGCTGATGCTGATGCTGATAATGATGCTGATGCTGATGATGCTGATGATGATGATGACGATACCATGTGTGTTTGCCGATCACGGCGATGATGATAATGACGATGATGATGTTGGTGTTGATGCTGATGGTGATAATGATGGTGGTGAAGATAATGATGATGATGATGATGATGAAGAAGATGTTGATGTTGATGCTGGTGTTGATGTTGATGATGGTGATGATGACGATGACGATAACGATGACGATGACGACGATGATGATGATGATGATGATGATGATGATGATGATGATGATGATGATGATGATGACGATGACGACGATGCCGCTGAAGATGATGACGGCAATGGCTATGATGACGATGATGGTGATGGTGATGCCCAGGGTTTGGAAAATGACGGGGTGGGAGGAGGACGAGGAGGAGGAGGAGGAAGACTGCGCGGGGCATCCAGAGAAAACAAAACAACCATTTTTAGGCCTTGGGAACAAGTCTGTTGGTTTCCCAAGTATCCAGCCGCCTCCGGCAATTCTGGCACCGTGCCAACGAGGGAGACGCCATGGCCGCCCAGGGACCTCCAGGAGTAGGGACGGTGCACGCAAGTGTGCGCGACGTGAGGGGTGGGTGGGCCACTGAGAAGACTACAGCAACCCTGGCAGTCAGCACTTGTTATTCTTCTACGCCTCAACGTGCCAGGAGGCACGAAGGCGGATGGAGGCGGATCGCACCGCATCGCCGAGGCATCGGCGATGCGGCTCGATGTGGAACCCGAGTTTCTCCATGCCGGCGTCGCCGATACATCAGCAGTGCATCGGCGGTCGGGTATGCGGCGCGATTCTCCGGCCCCATCTGCTCGGACCCCATGTGGGCGTCCTCCATCCCTCGTCCTCGCCGATCCTCGCCATGGCCTCAACGCCGGGGGGATTTTGTCCATGTCCACAGATCCTGGGGCGCGCCACCGAGCGCCCGAGGCAGCTTTCGATGTTGGAGACCTGCTCGCCTCCTGAGGGCGGGAATGCATGCTTATCCAACGCTCGGCGAGGTCCTCGGCGGTAGATCGGTGGCATGGATCAGTCCGCGTCACCGTCGTCGTCGTCTTAGTCGTCGTCGTTGCTGGTCCCGCGCGGGCTGACGCAGAGCAGTCCCAGCTGGCTTTTCACAGCTCGCGTCGAGCAAGCGTGATCATTATCCTCGTCGTTGCCCTCCTCGTGTCGGAGGGAGTAAAGTCACGGGGGCTGAGAGGACGTCATGGGTCAGGGAGCGTGGTCGACATTGTTTTGGACATTTTCGCTGGGCATCGACCGCCCTTCTGGGCGATGGGTGTTGCAAGTCCCGTGGGGCTTGATGATCAGGCACCCCGCCGATGACAGAATCTGACGCGCCGTTCTCATTCTTCTGAACACCGAACAGGACTGTGTTGGGTTGACTGGCTGGAGGGGGCTGCAGTAATTTCACGTCTCATCGTTTTCCAGAGCGGCCGGTTACGCAGGGATGAGCAGAGAGGCCAACGAGGGGAAGTACACGCTCAACTTGATGCTTTCCCACATCCTCTTCGCCGCCACTACCGTCCGCTGAATTATCCTAGTCGCCTACCTCCGTGTGCGACCGGAGGATTGCGTCGGCCTGTAAGCGGGGGGCTTCAGACAAGAAGAATGGAGCAGAACTCGCCCACCCCGCTTGATTTGTATTCACGCAGATACAGCGGGGTCAGGAGGAGCAGGATGAGGAAGTTGCGCAGCTCAGTCACACTGGCCTTCAGGACGAGCCTTTGAAGCAAGTGGCCATGCACCCCTTTGTTCTGAGCATGCGTTTCATGCTTTCCACCTTCTCTCTCACATGCTACCCCTGACGTGGCGCGTTCTGGGTCCCTTGCACGTTTATACTCCTCCATCTTGGCGACTGGCTTTTATTGTAGAAGGAGGTGATGATGATGGTAATGGCGCTTAGGCAAGTACAAGTCCGCCTGACCGCTCCGCGGCCTCAGGCGCACCCGTCATTCAACCGCCGAGTCGGGCGGCTCAAAAAGGCGAGGACGGGCACCTCTCCAGAGGTCGAGCACGGGGACCTCCACGACTTTCCAGTGGAAGCTGACGGGGGCCTCCTCAGGTCCAGGTCACACGAGCCCCACGCCCCCCTGGGCGCCTGCAACTTTGGGGCTCCGAGGAGGAGCCCCTCCCCCCCGCCCGATCCTGGACGCGCCTGCCTGGCCCGCCCAGGCCGCCCCCAGGGGTCACTGGGCGGGCCGGGAGGCCCAGACGCGCACGGCAGGCGCCTCCGGTGGGCGCGTGCCCGCTGCCCCCGCCGCGGTGGCCCACAGGCCCTCCAGGGTGACGGCGCTCGCTGCGGGGCGGACAGCCCCGAGGGGCATTCAAAACACACGGATAGTCCAATTGGTGGCCCCCCCCTGTCCCCGCACCCCTGGCACCGACAGACGTCTCCTCACGGAGACGTTTCGCGCATCGAGCTCGAGCTCGTCGAGTCGAGCTCGTCGAGCCCCTGCCCGCTGCACCCCTGGCACCGACGGAGAGGACCCCCCGCCAGAGCAGCTGGTCGAGCGGTTGCTCCTGGAGCGCGAGGCCGATGCGAGGGGTGGCGCGAAGCGCCGGCGCCTGGGGGCGGACGGCTTGGCGGCGGACGTCGGCGGCGAGGACGGGCCACCAGAGGCCGCCCGACGGGGCCTCCTCTGCAGGATCGGAGGCCTCGTTGTTGATGACGTCGGCATGCTCGCTTCGGAGGTTCAAATCGTTAGCAAATGGTGGGATCCTCGTGTACCCTCGTAATGCCTTATTTATTTTGAATGCACTCGCGTCTGGCTATCGACGAAATAGCACTGGACTAGCGCCGATAAGCGCCGATTCGCAAGAGCGAGCAAGACGGTATCGGAGGCTCCCATGAGTTGCCGCAGAAGGTTGGGGCGTTTCGAGATGTTCTCGTCGCCATGGCTGGACGCAGCTTGAAATACTCCCCAAGGTGCACACTGGGAGATTGGCCAGGATGCGCACAGGGAGGCGTTCAGAGATCGAGTTGAAGCGACAGTCGGCGAAGAACGATGCGAGCGAGCTGGCGAGCGAGCCACCAATGCGGAGCATCTGCCGGGCCTATCTAAGGCTAGGCGGGCAAGCCCGTGGCCTATAGTTCGTTAATTTATCCATTTCTCTGTGTATATATGTACACACGTGTTGTCATGTGTGGACAATACGTGTGTGCTGCGAGAAACTGAGAAGTGCTCTGGAGATGGAGGAGGAATGAGGGTGTATCCTTGTAGTTTGCGTCCTCATGCGTGGGTGGTGCTGTACTGTTGTGCCTGTGATCGTTATGCTTGCTTTAGCTGATGGCGTAGTCGTTCTCAAGCCTCGACGAGGTGATGATATGTTCAGCAGTTTGTACCCATGTGGTGTCATTTGGTGGTTCGTTTGTACTGGCAAGAGCGGGGGATAGGTGTAGGTCTGCTCTGTGCTGCTGACGGAAGCTGTTGATATCGTCTCCCATATATTGTGTTGCCCCCCGTGTTGTCGTAGTCCTTGCTGTCGATGGTTGGCGTCCGGTCGCCAGTGTAGTACACGCCACGTCTATTTGCTGCGCTCGTGGTTGGCAACCCTCGGCGCAATGCGCCCCGACCTTCTTCTCAAAATCGCCTTCGAATTTGCGATGATGTGGTGCGCCGTGAGCTGCTCTGCGTGCCGCGTGACTCGCCAGATGCAGTCGACCCTCGCCTCCACCGTGTCCTCGTCGAGATGGTCGTCGTCCCCTTGTGCCGGTCTGTCGTTTCGGTTGCGTCGCGAGGTGCGTTTCTGTCCGTCGTCGTTGCTGCTATTTGTTCTGGGGTCATTGTCTGTTGCTTCGTTGGTCGTGCCGTGGTCCACGGTGCCTTGGCTGCTGCGTGGGGTGTTGGAGCGCTGATGTTCATGCTTTGCGTGTGTTGTTGTGAGAAGCGCGAGCAGGAGGACGAGGAGGAGGAGGAGGAGGACCAGCGTAAACCCAAGACTCATCAACGATGTTGGAGTACGCCCTCCCTCCAAGCTCCCTCTTCGCATGCCCCTACAGGGGTTCATTTCCATTGAGGAAATTGTGATGGGCCTGTTTTCCACCACCACCATAAGTTGAAGTGGGAGGGGGTCTCCGTCCTCCTCCCCCTCCTCCTCGTCGTCCTCCTCCTCCTCCTCCTCCTCTTCGTCCTCCTCCTCGTCCTCTATCTCCTCTCCCCCTCCATCCCATGGTGGCGGTTGTGGAAAACAGGCCCAACAAATTGCACAGTTGGGGACAGCCGTGTAAAAATCCTGAAGCGTGCCAAAACACCATCGTCAGGACCTCAACGCCACGAATTAACCTGATTGTGAGTTTTGGCGATCCTGAGTCTTGCCAGAACATCATTGTGGGCTTTTAGCACCGCGAATATACGTAATGGCGGCGCCCCGACAGTCATGAACCGGTCCAAACACAATGCCGGGTATGTGAGCCGTGCAAACGATTGAATTTCTTTAAATTTTTTTAGACGAATGTGCGCGGCGTTACGACGAGAGTCACAGTTTGAAACACAGCCGCCCTCAGTCCGTAAATCTCTTGCATTTTTTTTAGACGAATGTGCTCGGTGCTAAGGCGATCACCACATTTTGCAAAACACCCGCCCTCAATTCGCGAAGCTCTAGAAAAGGTTTTCAATGAATGCGCGCGGCGCTAAAGCGAGAGGGACATGTTGAAAACCACCCGCCCTCAATACTGTATGTGAGGGTCTTGCAAATGTTTACGACGAATTTGTGCTGCGATTCGGCGAAAACAACATTTTGAAAACGTCCCACCCTCAATCCGTGAAGCTCTTGCAAATGTTTAAAACACATGCGCGCGGCGCCACGGCGAGGGCCACATGTTGAAAATCACCGGCCTTCCGTTAATGACGTTGTTGTCAAGTTTGAAGTCTCAGGGTCGTAAATGGTGAGGGGATCTCAGGCGACAAGCCAGGCCCACCCTTTCCACCGGCCCGGGGGTGCGACGTGGAGGAGTTATTTACAAGGAAAAGGAATTTGGGAGGAGGAGGAGGAAGAGCAGGAGGTGGACACTGATCCTCCTCTTCCTCCTTCTCATCCTTTTCCACTTCAAATGCCGATCACAAGAAAACATGCAGTTTCGGAGATCCGCCGCGTGGATTTCATGGGTCGGCGCTGGACCGCCCTCCAAATTCCAGTTGACTGCGCCTCGGGCGCCGCCAGGAAGGGTTGTGGACAGGGATACCTGCCGCCGACATTCACTCCGTTGTTTAAATTGCAAGCATGATGAGGCACAGGGAAAACCTGGAATGCGCCATTGATGTTGCAATAGAGCCTCCCGTTCCAACGTCCCCTCATTGTAAGCCAACGCAATTAATTGTTGACGCTTCGCGAATCCCCACCAGCGCACTGTTCTCTGGTCCCGGCCGCTCAGCCGTTCGGCTTGTGCAGGTCGGCCGCGGAAGTCTGGCGCCGCATTGGCGACTCACTTCGGGGCATCCTCAGTTTCACCGGGCACGGCGGCCTGCCCACTGTGGTTAGGGCTGCTGCGCCTAGGTGCGTTTGCCTTTCGAATTTTGTTCATTTTTGTTCAGTGCATGTGCAGGTGCGAGCTGTCTGTCCGCCGACTCTGGCTGGCGGCGAATTGTCTTGCAATTAGCCCCGTACCGTGACCCGGACGCCGCTTCCGCTCCCTGTCCTTTGCCTTGGAGCCGCTGACCAAAACAGGAAGTATCCCCACCAGCGTTTTACGTTGCCGTCCGACTGACTCACACCGAGCGATCGAGTTCTACTTGGTTTTGGTCAAGCGGCCACGCCATTTTAGCTGCGTCTATTTGCTGGTCAACCACCAGGTTTTCGGACGCCACCGGGAATGGGTCTACCAGTTTTTTTCGCCTTTCTGAGTTGACGCCATGCTGCGCCTGTCTTGCGTATCCGCTTTCCGCTCTTCTGTTGCCTAGTCGTGGCCCGGCCAGAGTTTGGACGCCTTTTGACAGGCCGTTGACCAACGAGTATCCCCACCAGCCCATCCAGGAACAGATCGCCAGGCGAGTTGCCTTGAGCAGGGAAGTATAGAAACACGCAGTGCAACAGCCACCGCTGAAGTCTGCTCTCGGAGGTATCTTGGAGCCGTATTGGGTCTGTTTTGGAGTCCTCGCGGAGCCAGCTTGGGCACTCGCGGGGCCTTCCTTGGGCTTTCCTGGGGGGTCCATGGGGGCCTCTAAGGGTTTTTTGGGGGGCATGGAAGGCGTCTTGGGGCCGTCTTGGGCGGATCCAATCAGGCCTGCGAGTTGAGTCCGAAGTCCTGATTCTGGTGAGCCTCAAGAATCTACTTCGCGGCAACATCTCAATTTGGCGCTCTGCCAACGACATTATCATGGCGGCGTGCGTCGATGGCAGGATTCCGCCCAGCCAACCTGTCAATTTTATTGACTTCCGACCCAACAATACACAGTGCAAATACGACCGAGTTGGGCAGGTGTGGGTCACTGAATAGTAGATTGAAGATAACGTGCAGGGTAGCCTGCGCGAGGACACTCTTGTGCCGAGGAGTTGCCACGAGTGGCCATGCGACGCAACAACATGGAAGGGGTGGATTGTACCGAGCACTACCTACAACCGCAGGGCCCCTGTTTCGACACCTGCGCAAGAGGTGGAACATGCCTCCTTCTTCATGATTCAAGAGACATATACTCCAAGCAGGGACGCCTGCAGGAGGTTCGGATGCGTCATGGATCCCAGCTCAGAGTGCTGATCTGTCTGGTATGGCATCCAGCGGAATCGCACCGAACGACGGATTGCACGCGAAAGACCCGTGGCGCACCCAGGCGCAGCAGGTGCCAGCGCCGGCAGGGTCACACCCGAGCTGGGCCACGACCTCATTCGGCACTCCACAGAGCGCTGGGAGCACCAGCAGTCTGCAAGCTAGGCTCCAAACAATAAGAATGGATCCTCTGCAGGGCAACCTGTCACCACCGACCAGGAGACTGCCCAGAGAGCCGTGGGCCTCTTGGGTCAGCAGCAGTGGATGCATAAGCAGATGCGCGTGGCCATGCAGAACATGCGGCGGGGTGGCATCGACCTCCCAAACGCGAACTGGACGCCCCCGTGGGAATGCGTTCCAGATCCGAAGCCATCACCTGATCATCCTAATCGAATTGGTTTATATCCCAGCATTCTTCGGCCGCCCGACGTACGACCCAGCGGCCGCTGAAAGGCCAACGGCTCCACCCATGGATGCCCCTCTGTTCTCTGACTGCGACGCTCAGGAGACTGGCATCCCACAGGTTGGTATTCAGCCCGAGAATTCGCACGTTCGGGCAACTGTCGATGATTTCGACCGGTCCCAGCTGACGCGCGTTGCTGGGAGTGGACCCGGCGTGCCAGGCCAAGTACCTCATGGCGGATACTTGGCGGCCCCCATGGACCAGCAGATTATGCACCATGGCCCTGAGTGGTATCCTCGTCCATGGGAGAACTGCGCCCTGATATCTTGGCGATCCATGAAGCGCAGCAGGCCAACCTCTCAATGCAACTGGCTTGCCAACGCCGCAATCAGGAGCGACGGCTGCGCCGCGTGATGAATCGTGCGAGGGCGCCCGCTGCTCCTACGCTTGCGGGGCAACCTGTCATGAGCCTATCAGCAGCGGTTGCTATGGGATCAATGCCTGGGGCGCAGCAAT